AAAAAAAAAAAAGAAAATCTCCTTCTCAAACATATCACTGGAACGTTTCCTTGCTTGCCATAGTGCTAGCAAACAGGGTTTTCAGTACACTGTTGATGTGGAAATCTTTAGGATTTATGTTTCAGAACCTTCTCTCCAGCCTCCCAAGGCCTGCACGCCTCTTTAACTTCAAGGCGCCCACCACCCTCTTGTATTGACGGCAGGCCTGGCTGTCGCAGCCTGATGACATCCCATTCAATGGTGTGGCATTTTCCCGAAAGGGTTTTGTGTAGCCTTTGTGTTTTCCAGCCCCCTCAAATTCAAGTATTCTTCAGTGCAGGCTGAATACCCATCTTTTTATTTATTAGTGGAAAGCACTCAGCATTTTGTTCATTGAATGATAAGAAGAGTTATTGACCTTTCCTTAAGTGTAGCTTTATCAGAAGGGCCAACTACCAAGATTTTGCTCTTTTAGTACTATATATCAAGTAACACTATTATAACTATCTGGAAATGCCAGATGCCCTAAATGGATTTTGGGGGGGGAGTGTTATTGGGGCCTTCACACCGCATTATGTTCCTGGCACTTTCTGTTTTTTATTTTGAGACAAGATCTTGCTAAATTGTTTAGGCTAAGCTTGAACGTGCAATCCTTCTGCCTCTACCTCCCAGAGTGCCGGAAGGACTGACATGGGGCACCAGGCCTGGTGCTTTATTGGATTTGATATGAATCCTCACATCAGAATTCTGGTACTGCTGACAGATTCTAGGAGAAAAAATGCCAAGGTTTAATGATAAGTTAGGTGCAAAGAAAAAGGTGACTTGGTTAGCTAGATTAATGCTTTACCAAAAATTCAAAATCAATAATTTAGGAAGAACTTATATTTAATATTTAATATATTATATTTAACATTACTTGGCTAATTTCTAGTGAAATGAAAAAAGAATATATTAACAAAGAAAAAACTGTTCATTCCAAATAGTCTTGTAAGTCATCTGATCTGAACAAGGAGGAAGTGAGGGTCAGGACTGGCTATCAAGAAACAAAGCCAGAAGTGGTGGAGCAAGTGTGTAATCCCAGCACTCAGGAGGTGAGGCAGGAGGAGCGCTGCCAGGTTGAGGCCAGTCTGAACTGCATAGGGAGATCCTATGTCAAAAAGGAGATAAAGATAAATGGAGAGAGAGAGAGAGAGAGAGAGAGAGAGAGAGAGAGAGAGAGAGAGAGGAAAGACTTGCACTGAGCTTGTTTGAGTCACTGAGTGTGTGAATGTGACCAATGTCACTTGTGATAAGAGCTGTAGAAGGGCTCTTGTCTTTCTGTAACAAAAAGGAGACAAATCTCCTTTCCCTCTCACTGGATGAGTCAAATGAGTGGGAAATAAACTCTTTTGTCTTAAGTCAGAGATATTTAGAATGTGTTAGCATAGGGCTGGCAAGATAGCTCAGCAGACTAAAGTACCTGCTTAGGCAAACTTAGGCAAGCCCAGGAACTGCCATTAGATCCTGGGCACCATATGCTGTGCTAGCCCCTCCCTCAGAGTCCAGGCAGTGGTGCACCCCAGTAATCCCAGTCTTAGGGAGGCTGAAGCCAAGATGATCACCACGAGTCCAAGCTGCCTAGTGAGACCCTGCAAAAACCAAATACATTAAAAAAAAAAAAAAAGAAAAGAATGTGTTAGCATAGCATGACTTAATTTACGATGGAAATATAATAGGTACTTGGAAAGAGGAACATTATAATATTGGAAAAGAGACTAGGATCCTCTAAAGTTAAAAGTGCAAGAAAGGGAATGTACAATTAATAGCCTAATCATTGAAGTGGGAGCTGTAGATATTTCCTGAAATTCATTGGAAAATAATAAATATAAGAAAATTATGATTGACAGAGGTTGGAGTATGCAAAGTACATAGGCCTAATTATATATAATCACATTAAAATATATATCCATACATTACAAATATTATATACCCATAGGATTATATAAATATATAGTATATGTATATTATAATATAGTTTTATAATATATGCCATATATGCAAATGTGATATAGTTGTATTAACATATAAATAAGTGGATATAATTAATTCTGCATATAACATGAATATAATTTTATTTGTGATGTTAATTAAAATAGTAATCTTTAGAGCAGATAAATTTTAACAGATAAACATTTATAATTTAATAATTCAAGAAAATTTCTAAGATAGGATGAAGGCCCTTCTGTTATAATTTTGTAAGTAAAATTGATAACACTAGATCCAGTCCTAAAGTTTCTTTATGTGTGAGTCATAGTTCTTGGCTATAAGCTAAAGAAATCACTCTTACTAATTTAAGTAGAAACACATCAATCATGGGGCTAGAAAGCACTACTTCCCACAGCCAGGAATTATACCTACATTGGTCAGGGGTCTATAGAGAAAAGCCACCAACCTTCCCAAGGCTCAGTAGCTTGTATAATCCAGGAACTGTGCCAGCAGAGCCTGCAGGTATGAAGCAGAGTGGGCCCCATTCCTGGGATGATGCTTCTCTTGAGGGTGGCTGCCTGCTGTTGTGCTTACTTCAGAATTTTATTCTCTTGAGGTTCATGTTTAGTGGAACTGTTGTCATGTGCTGAAAGAAAGTCGGCAGGTGAAGAGACTTTTGGCTTGTGTCTTGCTTGGGAAGGTGAGGTCCACATAGTCACTAATTACCAACTGTATGGACAGTAGCCATGAAGTATCAGCTGATGAACATTGACAGTATTTGATGATGCTTTGAGTATTCTAGCAAACTGAAACCTATATTAGGTGCTTCCAG